TCAAGAGATGATTCTCACCACCTTTTAGGAAAATCCTGCTGACTATGGAGCCTTTACCCCAAATCCATCGGAGCAGAAAGATAATTTTAAGACACACTGAAGGACACAGAAGTAACAAGCCCATACATCAAACAGTATCCCTACCGTTGATACAAGAGTAAACTTCATACCAGCCAAGCTGAGTAAGTAAAGGTCCAATTAGTTATCACTGTGTTCATTAGTATAAATTCAGGTATTTATCATGGCTAGTATATACAATCCTTAGTACAGGTGTATTAGACATCAACCTATAACCTCTACAGAGCTCCAGTAAGATGACTGGAAGCTATGCTGAGGAATAATCAATTCTCTTATATTTTTGTTTCTTTCAATAACAATATGCAATCATTGGCTGCTTTTTCTCCTCATAACATAAGGAGTTAGAGAGTTACATAAACACAGTATGCTCATCTGTTTCAGATTTGCCCTTGCTATTCTCTATAAATAGTTGTAAATATTAGTTCAAATACACTATTTAGGACTAGTGTCCAAAATTAAATCCTATGGGCTTATTTAGGCTTAATCTCAGTAAAGCAAAGCTAAATTATGGAGCTAATTTGCCATGCCTGTGCCTTTCATATAACCTCATTTCTGCTGCAGCTCTGAAACAACACTTGACCGATGACAGAGCACATCATTCCATAACCTTATGTTACAGAAACGTCAGTAATTGTTTTTGCTGCAGTCTCAGGGCTAACAACAGAAGTCCTCAAGAAAACAGACTAAAGTCATGCTCAGAAGTATCAGTTTGGAACTCTGAGCCCACACTTACCATACTCAGATCACATGCCAGACAGATTTATTAGCCAGTATGAATCAGAACAACTAAGGTTGGAAGGGGCCTGCAAAGGTCAGCTAGTCCAAACCACAAGGTCAGACCATCAGGATAATTCAGAACCTTGTCCGGAGGTAAAGGTTGTACAGCAATACCACTCATAGTGCATATAATGATCTGCGGAGAGCTGGTAGGTCACAGGATCTTAGCTGTCCTCCTTTTCCAGGTACTAAAATACACTACACAGCTAAAAACAGAATAGTTTCCTAGTCCTGTACTCCATGCATGTAATTTATGAGGGAGGGGTTTAAAACAAACAAAGATGCAGTGTTGTAAGGAAGCAGGTGTAATGTGAAAGCCTCAGGCCAATTACCTCCTTTTTACTGTGTCAACCTGACAACAGGTTTTTAGGCTAATCAAATACACACTAGTATTTTCACCAACTCAGTCTGACATTAGCACAACTATCTCCAACTAATTTCAGTTTAGGCATTTAATTCTAACTGAAAAAAAGCCTGAACAAGTGACAGAGGAGGTAGCTAGAATTTCAACAGTATATATTAGTGTATAGGAACTCAGTATCACAGCAATATTGCCTCTGGTATTTGAACCAACTCACGTAAGCCTAGTATTACCATACATTTCGGTGTAATCATACCCAGCTAAGTACTATAAAGAAATCCTCACAGCAGCCACTGCTGGGGAATAAACTTAAATTCAGAATGTACCAGAATGTATCAGAACATACCAGAATGTAGCAGAAAATATTAATAGATCATCTACTCCACATGCAATCACTTCCAAATGTGTTTGCCATCGTGTCTAGCCTGTGTCAAGATTAGATTCATTGCTTTCCGGTTTATGAAAATAAACCTCAAGCCTGGTATATTACAAAATATAACTTACATGGCAGAGCAGACTTGCCAGTGAGTATGAAGTATTTCATTCACAACAGTCAGATTACTTGCAGTCAGTGAAGATACTGAGTATTTTATAGTCACACTGGGTAAAAGCCTTTCTTCCCCCCCAGGCATTAAGCTGGAAGAGCCCACTCAGAGAGGGATGTTTCAAAGCCAACTTTACACAACAGACTCAAGAGGATAAAGATGACACAAGCTGATACCGGGAAGTTGTAGGAATTTGAATTATGAATTAACACTCAATAAGCGTTCTAGTGAGAAGAGGGGAGATTAGACAGAACTGGGAGTAGAGAAGTGTGAGATCTACAAGAACGTCCTAGGATATAACTAACCAGGAATCTGCTGGCTGAATGGAACCTAGAGCCAAAGTAGAATAAGAGAGGCAATACAGTACATCGATTTGTTTTCCATACACATCTCTAATTACATTAGCTGATTTCTTAAGCTGTACTTTTTAGTCTAATAAATAAGCTTTACTTTCATTGTAAAGTATGATAGTAATGTTAAAGATAACTTCATGGCAGCTAACAAATTTCATACATCGTGTTCCCCAATGCATAACAAGGCTATTAGGGTATGCAGAGAAGTAAAGAATCTCAATATTATCACCAGAAGTCAGAAAAGTCTACAGGTTTCTTCACTAAACTGTTTATTTTTTTCTCCTGGGAGAGCCATATTATAAGGTACTAGATAGGAAAGGAAGCTTTTAAGTTAGAATTAAGCAAAACCACTATGACAAGCAACAAAACAGAACAGGATTTTAAGTTACAACCATGAAGTTCAGATTTTTAACCATCTTAGTTGGCAATAAGGAAATGAGCATACACTATAGCAGGCGATTCTACAATATATAGGCTTCAAAGTTCCATCTGAGATTAGAAATTAATAAATACTCTTACATTATGTGGCAGTAGTTTTGCTCTGCTAGAGCTCTTTAACAGGAAAGCTGGCTCCTTTTTTCAGTCAATTCTTGAGACAGATTTGCTCAGTGGGACTCCGGTATTGGCCAAGTTGTCTTAAGAAAGTCACTGTCTTGCATGCCTTTTGACCATCTCTTTTTCAAGACCTGTAGGTGGGCATGCATACGCACACATGCCTCTTCTACGCTTGAGATATACAGAGTTCTGACCAGTCTTCCCTCCACTAGCAAGTCAACTTACAATACCCTGATTATTTAATCCTCTGCCAATTTAAGATGGGACCTGCGCAGTTAAGAGCATCTGTATGGAATCACTATTGTACAGCGAAGTAAAGTTTGTGAAACAAGGGCCATGTACTGCACAATATTAAGCACAGTACCACAACTAAAATAGAAATCTCACTAATAAAAGACATACATGCTCCCCAAGAGAAATAAACTGCCTATGAGCCTGAGCTCAGTGATAATCAGAGGGGACAAATGTACTTGAATCAACTTTTGTAAGCACACTTGAAGCCCTTGGGCCGTAAGTTCAGACTGACTGGACAAACTGGCACTTCTGCCAAAAGATGCAACATAATCTGTTACGCACCTCAGGCTTCTCACTTCAACACCAGTCACTGCCTACACAGAGACATGCCCCACACTACCTTTTGTAGTGGAGAAAGCATCTCCTGCTCCAATTCATGGCACAGCCACACAAACTGATTCAGCTAAAGGAAAAGACCAGGCCTAAGGAAAAAAGTTCGGGTTTAACTCCATTAGGTAGATTTCATGGTTGCCTAAATGTTTGTAGCAACCAGACAAAAGTGGGCAAAGCTTTTTGGGAATGGACAGGTGACAGCAAAGGCTAGGATTGTACTTTTCAGCAACTAATCTGCTTAAAGCATTCATGAAATTATAGTCCGAGTTTTCACAGCTCTGCATGAACTTCATAATAAGGCACATACCAGATGTTATTTTCAGCCAGTCACGAGCTGGAATCCTTACTTTTTTCTGCATTATTTATAGTGTTAGACATACATAAAACAAATTATAACTACATATCCTTTATTACGTCCGTCAAACACGTTAAGGCTCAGGTGTGGTGGTAGTGTTTTGTGGCTTCTTTGAATTTACTTAGCCATTTCAGGCAGTCCTCCGTCAAAGTGTTCTCTTTCCAATTCTTCCACTAATTTAGAACAAAAGAATTTATATTTCAAATCCCTTAAAACAATTAATTCTACATCATGTATAATCCGTGAACTGGATTGCCATATAAACTAAACACAATTAAAAGTCATCTTTTATGTTTTAAAATTGAAACTGAGTTGTGCATCTGCTTCTCCCTCCCCAAATCAAGAAATTTTTTCAAATACTTAAGATACCAGAAGTTGTCATATAGAATTTCAAAAGAAGTGACAATGCCATGAAAATAATACAGTAACACTAAGGCGTCATCCAGCACCAATATTGATGGTGCTGGATTCACCAAATTCATTCACCAAGATCTTAACTGGGACAACACTAGTAAACCCCGTAGCAGCACTGTTCCCTTTAGAAGACTGAAATACTGAGACATAAACAAACTCGAGCCCAAGTTCATGTAACCTCCAGCTAATGCTGATTCCTTGCCATAATCCATTTATCCCCTTTAAATAAAGTTCACCCATATGTAATCTGTGTT